TCAGACCAGCTCTGTGGAAAGGAAGGAGGTCCATCAGCTGTGACACAGGCAAAGACCCCTGGGAACTGTACGAGCCCCACATACCTACCTAGATGCTACTAGATGTAGTTAACTGGATTCCATTCTGCCTGCTGTTCAGGTCAAACATCACCATCTCTCATGAATGCCATCCTCCTTCTCTCTTCACCTCTCATAAACACCACCCTCCTATTCTCCTCTCGCAAACTCCATCTTCCACCTCTTCACCTCTCACAATCTCCATCTTCCACCTCTTCTTCACAAACACCATCCTCCTCCTCCTCTTCTCTCACAAACACTATTTTCGCCACATCTCTCACAAACTCCATCCCTCCTCTTCTCCTTTCACAAATTCTGTCATCCTCCTTTTCTCTACCTCTCTCAACACCATCTTGCTCCTCTCCTCTTTCACTATACTCTTGGCAACACCAGATCTGCCAGTGTATCCTGTCAAATTCTTCAACATCTTCATCCTGTTTACATTAGAATCACTTCTCACTTTCTCCATCAGCCTCTTAAGAACTATCCCACCTATTTCTGTCTTGCCTGTCAGTAGTCTGTTTTAACACAACAGCCAGGACAACCCCATTAAATATACATCTGCCCTCACTATTCCCCTGCTCAGAACACTAACCCTACCTCACCCTGGGAAAAGTGGCCCCTACCATGGCAACAGGTTCTTCACATAGGCTGGTCTGGGTCTTGTTACCTATTGTGCCCTTATCTCCAACCTGCACTTGGGTCCCTGCTGTCCTGGAATGCAGGAGACACTCCTACCTTGAAGCTTCTGCACCCCTTCTTCCTTGCCTGGAAAGTCTATCCTCAGATGTCCATCCATGTGTCCATCTCCCAGTACCCAAGCTCTTGGTTCACAGAGCCACACTCCAGACCTTCACACCACTGCCTACCCTTCAGCATTCCTATCTCCCACAGTTATTACATGGAACAAACCACAGGAACTCATTTTGTCCTTTGTCCACCAGAATACACACTCCATCAGACATGGGTTGTCTGCTCTGTATTTTGCTATATCCTGGCACAGAGAATACACAGAAAGTACTTAATAAATGTAGAGTCAATGGGCATAACACCAGTAATGATAAAACCAGAAACCTCTCCCCACAAAACACCATCTATACACCCTAGGGTACAGTATTTCCCCCAAGGAAATACAGGTACTGCATTTGGTTCTTAAGCAGGAAAGATCTCCACAGGCTCCATCCCCGGGGGCAGGGATAACACTCTCACTAGGCATGGTGAGGGCTTTAATAAAAAAGTGACTCTGATCTAGAGCAGTTTATGCTTCTGAACAAAATTAACAATGATTTGGGATAGTTAATACAGATCAAAAATTAAAATCCACTGTAAGGCTCTAAGAATGAGTCTGATGGCTTCAGATTTCCTGGTGAAGTATGTAGGGATCCAAAACTCCAGAGAGGGAAGCAGGCAGCAGTGCTCATGACAGCAGAGCAGGGAGTCAAGCAAACCCAATGGAGCCACTGTCAGCATTCAGTCTGCAGTCTGCACAGATATTATTCAGGTTTCTGCTCAATGAATGAGTAAGCGAGTGAAGAGAGAGAATGAATAACTGATTGAAGGTTGGGGGGGACAGAAGTTCACAGTGACCCTACTGTGTGCTCTGGTATGGCCTTTCTGTCTTGTGTTCTTAGGTGCTCATGTGCTGGTTGATCTAGATTGGGAAACACACTGCGTCACAGAATAGAAGCTGAACAGAAAGATACAAAGAGAGATTTCATAGGGAATAAAAAATAGGTCAGCTGGTGAGGGGCCATCAGGAACCCTGGACAGAGGAGGTTATATGCCTGAACTCATGGTTTTGGGTCCTGGTAGTGGGTGGCTGGGACAGTCAAGAGAAGAGAATGAAATCTAGGAACAAAGAAGTCAGTGCTGAGGCCATGCTGTGAGGGACACTGAAACCACTGGACAGTGGCATACCTTGGTGTAGAGAAAGACCATGATACTCCCTATTCCCGATTCCCAGGTAAGTTACCACGCTGCTGGCTACCTGTGCAGAGCAGGAGCTGAGGTAGGAAAAGAATTCTATGCTTCTTATCATGTACTTTGGGATTGCTGTGATTTTTTTGTTGCTGTTCATTTATAATGAGTATATGCTACTTTATAATTAACAAAAGCTACAAATCTGGGAGAGAGGTAACATATGAAAAGGAAGTCAGAGACAGGAGTTTATTAAGGTCTAAATTTAAATCAGGTGGTAGAAGAGGCAATGAATCAATGCGAAGGGGAACCCAGAAGCATCACTGTTGAGCCTGAGTAAGACACACAGACAACCTCAGGCACTCTATCAGCTTCACACAGCAGTAAGGGACTTGTGTGTTGTCAACAGGACTGAAGAGTGAGCTGCATGGAGACATGATGGAAAAGGAAAGGGAGGGCTCTGAGAGATGCTCATCTTCATAGACTCTTTCCCTCAACTCAGTCATGCAATTGCTGCCATCAGACATTAGCTGTAGAATTAACACTGTGATTGAGAGGCCTAGCTGTTGTGTACTGGACGTACTTTCCTCCAGCCAAAACCTCAGTGCTCTTTGTCCTTGGAGCACTCCTTTCTGCTCATCTGGTCAATATGTTACCCTCTTAATACCCAACCCTCTGCCAGCTGCACACACTCACTGCCAGCCAGCTGGACCTGGGCTGTTATCCCCTTCATCATCAGCACCCCACCAGGATGCCTGACTCTGCATCCACAGCTTATGAGTAAGTGTCCTAAAGGGGTGTGAGGGGAACCCCTTGTGCCAAGCTGTGCTCAATAGAAAGATGTCTCATACATACTAATGAATGACATTTTTCAATGAAAAACTAAGCATTCAGAACAAGGTTTAACATCTGTTCCTTCATCATTGACCTTGGCAGTATTAAGAGAAGCTTAATCAAGGGTGCAGAGGACAAATCAGATAAAATGCATAATTCTTCCTATCTACTCTGAACTTTCAATCCTAGAATGAGGTGACACTTAAAGGTCTATTTTTCAGGCCCACAGAGGAAAAGAGACATTAACAGAAGCTAGATCACCTACACTATTCTTATTGTGGCTAATCATTCTAACTTCAGAAAGTTCACTCCAAATCAAAGATTCAAAGTGCTGCTTCTCAAAGACATGTACAGAAAATTAAGGCTACTTTTTTGACCCAGTTAAAATGATGATTACATGGGGTTTTATCTTCTTTATCAATTGTAAGTTCAAAGTGAAACAGCTTTTTCTTCCAAAGAAAAAAGGAAGCACTGGACACCTGCTGCAGTTTTGGGTCACCTATAGTCCTTGGGTCTGGACATACATTTTGGTAGGAAGGGAGAAAAGAAATGCAGAGAGGAAAGAGGGCCCCAGACTTCAAGACAGTGGGGGTAGGGGGTTGTGGTGGGGGTGGTGGAAGAAAGTGTGCTTTGCTCAGTCCCAGGAAGCACAGTGTTGTTACTGCAGAATACCTCTATTACTGAAGACCCATGATTCCTTTCCACCATGCACAGTGTTATTTCAGAGGATTTGTGTATAAATTTGGAGGGGGTAAGTGGGTGAGATTTCAGGAAAGAAAGATGAGGCTCTGAACTACCAACAGGTCTGGATTATATTCTCCAGTTCTGTGTGTATACAAGAAAAAAATCATTTCTCAGACATGACAGGAAAAAGAACATATGATGAAAAAAACAGAAACTCATGCAAATCTTTTAATGCAGGACTAGCAGCAACATATTTCTATTACAGTTTCTTTTAAACTGAACTTTTGTGACCTATACCCCATCCTAACTGTGACTTAAGAAATCTCCACATGCAGTAGTGGCTATTTGGAGTAAATGTGACACACTGAACATTTCTAGATATGCATAACCAACTTTAAACTTTAATTTTCTACAAAAACTGGAAGACAATAAAAAAATCACCCAGAAAATTTACAACTGTGCCATCAATTATCCAATGCCAATAGCATAACTGATCACCAACCTTCAATAAATTTTATGACCCCTAATATTAAATAAAGCTCAGAGTGGCAGAGGAATATAAACCCAATAAATATTATGTTATCTTCACTATAACTGAAATATGAAATTAATTTCTGCTTTAAATATTACAAAAATCATGCCTAGTCTAAAGCTACCAAACTTCTATCAGAGAAACAGAAAGCCCTTTACATGCATAGTTGCTAAGAATACAAAGGTTTTATTGTATGTAAAAACATACAATAAAATCAGTGATTAGACCCTGACACTCCGGAGGACAAGGATCCGACTGTCCTAACCCTGCACTTTCTTAACTATCATTACGCAGGGATTGCTGGTGACCACACTATAGCTGTCTAACCTGCTCCCAAGCTCATGCCATCTCGAGTTTTTATCTGGACACATTAAATACTTGAGAGAGACCACAATCCCAGCCTCCTGCAGCTGGAACTCCAGCCTACGAGGAGAGGGCAGACATGATTCATTAACTGTGGGTTGTACCAACAAAGCACAGGGGTGCTTTCCCACTTATCCCACAAACTGGAATGTGGTGCTTACTATCCCTGGGACCATACAGATGTGGATACACACTCAATTTGGCATAGCAACAAGACAGAATGTCACTCAACCCCCTGACAATGTTACTGAACAAAGTCACACTTTCCAGAGAGAAAAATAAACTTTGGTCTTGTGTAAGCAATGATTGTTATGTCCTTGAAGCATGCTGCCAAACCTGCATCTTTTAATCTTCTCATATTCCTCAGATACACTGTGCAGATTATCATGAGAATTAAATGCATTAAATAATAGGGAGAAAGAGTATCTGTGTGTGGATGTCAGGTAATTTGCAGCCTCATTCCTTAGCTAAATAACTCACTTCCTCACACCAACCTTCTGAGTGGGTAATTCTCAGCAAAATTACAAGGTGTGGAGCTCGGTGGTGACCTGAAAAACAGAGAAGGCCACAAGTCCAGGTTGGCAGGTGGTGGCTCTGCCTGGCAGGGACTTACATGCTGTGATCAATGGTGCACTGACTGTTCTTCTTTCCAAGCTCCTGGCTACAGGAGTCACATCTTTTCCAACCATCCTCAGTTTTAATCCAGCTCCATCCAGGAGATCTCCAGTCCTGACCCAGAAATGGCATAGTTCTCCTATAAAAAAGTTAGTTTACATTAAAAATACACATATATAATGAACAGATATTTTTTACTTGGAACATCTGCTCATTGAAAGAAAAAGTTCTTACTTAACATTTAAATGCTTGCTTATCACTTACTATTGGATAGCCATGGTAACAAAATGACGATGACATGGTACTCTGGCCATATTAAAAGTGATAATCTGAGGCAAATATAGGTGGGTTTTCTAGCTCAATATTGTGTGTATCATGAAAGGTTTACCCCATGTGAGTCCTGAGCTCATACCAGAAACATCACAAGAGTGAGGGAATACTGTTCCAAAAAGCACACCCTCTGCCAAGAGTCAGGGGCAACACCACCTGAACCATGATCCCCGTTCATGCAATTCAGGGAAGTTAATGTGGGTGATGTTCAATACAGGAGACAGGGGCAAAGGCATAATAGTTACATGAAGCAAAGGAATAGGCTTCACTCTGAGAGCGATGAGGGAACAACTTTGGGACAAGCTGTCAAGTTAGACATATTTGCAAAAAACTATGACTTAAAAAATGACACAACACCTATTATTACCCTCACCTTGACTAGAATTCCCTTCCTCTTCATCAGTGTTTTTCAACCACAATACCACAGTCTAGGAATTTTAAAACTACCAGAGCTTTCCCCATCAATTAATAGGATTTATCTGGGGTGAGGGCTAAGCAAAGTATTTCTTAGTGGTCTAAAAGTGATTCTCACACACAGTGGAAGCTAAGAACTGCCTAGATGTTCACACTACAGATTCACCACGTCACCTCCCCAGAGGCTACCCCTAACCACACTGCAAACTCCTCCCTTCTTCTGCCTCCACACACCCAATCAGGCTCTGCCATTATCCAGTGTCTATACTGGAACAAGGGCTGTCTGAAACCATTTATGTGTTCATTGTCTGTTTTCCTACAGGAAAATGTAATGCCTTGTTCAGCTCTGTACCCCAATTTCCTTGAATAGTGCCAAATATGTGGCAGGAGCTCAGTGAACATCTATCTGATGAATAAATAAATAGATAAATGAACATAGAGACCCATGGCTAAGAAAAGAGACTAGAGAGAAATATAGAAGACCACCAGCATTCAGACCAACCATAGTCATGGAAATACTATCACAGAGAATGCAGCATGGGAAATCAAGATGGCCATGGGGAGAACTCCAAGGAACACAAACAGGTAAGGGACAAGTAGATAATGATGAGCTGAGAAGGGAAACTGAAAAGGGAAGGCCAGGAGGTGGAGGAAAGGAAGGAAGTCAAGAGAAGAGCACATTTTAGGAAAGAAATGGTAAGAGGAAAATGTTATAAAAAACAGTATAATACATGGTAAGAGTTGAAAAGTAGACATTTTTTAGCTTAGCTATAGAAAAGAACATGAAGACCTGCACATAAGAGCTTCAGCAGAGCAATGCTCTATGAATTTCATGATCAAAGTAGATTTGGATACTCATGATACTGAGTACTGACATCACAGAACAGCATTTTAGGAATCTCACCTTCAAAGCAGACTTGGAAGGATGGGGTGCAACTCAGTGGTAAAATGTTTGCCTAGCATTCACAAGGCCCTGGGTTCAGTCTCTACCACTACAAAAAAAAAAAAAAAAAAAAGATTCAGAGGATTTCAATATTACATCACTGAAAGTACTTGAAAGATTCAGGTGTCCAAATATCACGCCCCCCCACCACAACCAATTTTGCACAGCTAACAAAAACTAGGTTATCAAAGGGCATTTACACTAAAAAAAAAAAAAAAGGAATAATATACACTTTAATGCTACTCTTGGGGCAACTCCAAGTGTTCAGTCCCTGCCCTGGTATATTAAACATGCACTGAAGTCAAATTTCTTTACACTGGAGGATCTCGAAATCTTATGAAAAATATTACTAATGCCCAAATAAAGGGCTACTTTAACAAGAAATACTGGGCTTGGACTAAATGCCATTATGATAGGTACTCTCCCTTCATGGAGGAAAACCATCTAGCTGAGCAACTTAAAAAAAAATTTAGAAAACTAAAATTATACAAAAACCCCAAATACAGGTAACTCAAGTATATGTTTATATGTGTGTACACATGCAATGTTGTAATATGAATACCATATACATGGTAAAGAGATAACAATTAAAAAAATTTAACTAGAGAATATAGTAGTAACTATAGAAAAAGGTCAGCTAGAAAGGCCCTGAAAACAGGCCATGAGGCTGGCCCTGCAGTATTCTACATGAACGGAGAGGACTAATAGTTACAGACACAGTACATGAAAAGATTAAGGCCAGAATGCATGTGACACAGAGAGAAATAGAAAAAACAGGCTGGTTTTGTGGGGGCCTGACAGTAAGTTAGGAAGGTGACTGCACTCAGATCATGGAAGACTGTTGAGCGTTAAAGGTATTTGGAACCTATTCTCTGAGAACTAAATAAAGTGAATGGTGGTATTTACAGAATGATACTATTTAAGGGCCTGTAGGGTAGAAAAGGAAGAACAGAGACAGAAAAACAACACCTGAAACAACAGACCTTTATCCATGTCCTGTGTAGATCCTTGTCCTCAGATAACAAATTCTTTTAAAGCTTGATGCAGAAAACACTGTATTCATCTAGGTAGACACTATGCTCCCTTCCCATCTACTACACTTACCTTCTGGTTTCAAAACAATTCTGAGGGCATTTATGTAAAGAGCCCCTGTGGTGTTTCCGGTAATAATAATCAGTTTTTTCTTTTGTTTTTTTTACAATTCTACACAGACTATGACTTAATAACTTGAAGAGAAATGAATATTGTTCAATATGAACTTTTTTAGTTATGAAGTAGCTTTTTTTTTTTAATAAGGCTGGCAGGATCGCAATGCAGCTAATGGACCATGGAGCTAAAATCAACCCACACCCAATTTTTGACACACAGGAAAAGATCTCTCTCTACAATTGTATGTATTTCATAGATTTGCCATGGCATGATCTCTGGGTCATGAAGAGTTTTATTTTAAAGTATAATCTAGAACTGGAGGTATGGCTCAAGCAGTAGAGCACCTGCTTTGCAAGCACAAAGCCCTGAATTCAAAACCCAGTCCAAAAAAAATATTATCTATACAATTCATGGACGAAGGCACAGACTCTACAAACAATAATAAAAAAGCCACTGGGGTCAGGTGTGGTGGTATATGCCTGTAATTCCAGCACTCACAATGCCAAGGCAGGAGGATCAAAAGTTCAAGGCAGCCTGAGCTGCAAGAGCCTGCCTTAAAAAATCAACCCAAAACAAAAAAAACCAGACAAGTTGCAATTTAAAGGCCTGTATCTCAAGTTTTCAGAAACACCCCCAATGTAAGCATTTGATTTTGAAAGACAGAAAACAACGTCACTGACCTTTTAGAATGATGAACCACCACTTTTTACAGGAATTTCTCTACTCCACTAAAAGACAAATTGCTAGAGCTTCATAAATGTATTTCAATTAAAATCATCTTTGAGAATTTGTAAGTACAAAAATAACTAGAAGTTAGTACTGAAAATTAATAAGTATGTATGAGCAACTACTCAAAGGGAGTCCAGTTAGTTGTGATATAGCTTGTCTAATCTGCAACTTTTAAGCATGTTTTATACTAATTAATGTCAGTGAGCATACAGGGCTGAACTATTTTAAACATATGCTTGGTTTCTACTTTATATGGCAGGACATAGGGTGAGGTACTGCATGAGGACTCTACAAATTCATTTCCCAGTAGGAACTCCTGGCAATGAAAGGACCTGAGCTAACCAAGAAATGTCTTTCCTGCAACACACACACTTTCTCCTAACTCATGAGAAGAACGACAAGCATTTGTTAGAACTTAGTTTCTAAACAATCTCCATATATTACTTCACTTAGTCCTCACATTGCCCTCAAAGGAAATATCACTCTCATTTTACAGGTTTAATTCCCTGTTTTAGAGATGGAGACAGAGACTTGTAGAATGGGATTTAAAATTATGGACTTTTACTGTAAAATCTACGCTCTTAACCACTATGTTTATAGCAATCCCCAAACACCCTATTGAAATGTGCCATAAAAGTATAAGGACTTTTTTTAACCTTATAAATTTGGTTATCTTTTTAAAAAATTAGATGAAAAGAAACTGAATAACCAGTACTTACAATTAGTTAAATTTCAAAAACTATAAAAGCTATGATTATAAAGCAAGAGCTATAAACAGTATAAACAAAAAGAGAAACAAGTTACAAGAATAATGACAAAGCAGCTTGAAATTCAGAGAAAAATGTTGATAAAGTAACTTATTATTCTCCCTATTTCTTCTTTTTCATTATAAATTTTGAGAAAATAATTTTATTGTTCTGGAATAAGAAATAACTGGTCTTCAATTAGATAAGCATTTGATTTTTTCTTTATTGCTCTCTTTTTCTTCAAATATTTCTAACTTAAGGACAAAAACACTTAGTGTCAAACAAGGACGAATTTGATGGAGAAAGGACGTGAAAAAAGTGTAAACTGCAGGCTAAGCATCAGAAATGGAATTTACTCCAAGGCGGCCTGAGAGGGTCGCAGATGCTTCTTGGGAAAAGGAGAGGGGAACAGGACAGACAAGAGAAAGCTGTCTTCTGATTAGGGTCAGGTGATGGGAACATGGAGCAGGCAAGAAGAGAAAACTTTACTGGGTAATAGTTCTCTAAACTCAAAACGTCGACTGCAAGAAAAGTCAAAATAAGCCCACTGCATGGGTAAGGATGCAAAATTTGTGGCCAGCTGCAAGAAAAACGACAGGAGAGACCCCCACTGCTCTGAACGGGGCAGAGCCGTCACAGGCCCGTGCAAAGCGGAGGGGTGCAGACACGTGGGCACCCAGGAGAGGCCTGGGGTAGGGCGGAACCCTCAAGGTCTAGAGAAAGGTGAATAAGCGCAGGGCAGGGGCCCCACGGAGCCTCAGAAGACCGCTGAAGGCAGACCACTCCGAGGGGTGCTCCACCTGATGACCCCTCCTCACCCGGGACGTCCCCTCCTCACCTGGTGTCCCGTCTCCTCCCCACCTGGCGGTCCCCACTAGACGCGCAGCGGTCCCGGAGCGCACAGACGGTGGCGTCCGGCTTATTGCCGGAAGTGGTCCGCCTCTCACTGGGGCGCGCCGCGGGAAGCCCCGCCTCCGGGCTCGCTGATTGGCCAGTGTGGTGCAGCGCGGCCGTGTTGCCACCCGGTCCCGGAGCCGCGCTGCGCGCGTGCGGAGTAAGCACTGTTTGCCCCACTCGCCCCCGCTCACCGCATCCTCCCCGCCCGTCCCGCGGCCAGTTAACCTTTGACCCGCTTCGCTTGCCAGCCGCGGTTTGGTGGCCAGGACGCCGGCCGGCTCATGGAAGTGCCGGGCGGAACTTTTTACCTGGTCTGGAGTGGCAGGACCGGTGCTGCCGAAGCGCCGCTGGCCGCGGACGCTCCTCGGGACCCTGCAGACGCCGTGCGTCCGGGGTGCTGCTGTCACTCCCGGCATCGTCATCCACAGGCTAATGGCCGTCAGGGTCGCCGGCGCCCACCTCCGCCACCCCAGCGACCAGTGTTCCAGCCCAGCCAGGCTCGGGAACGTTCTGGGCCCGGAAGAGCCGCTTGGGTCTGCCCAGCTTCCTGTGCAGTCCTGTCCAGCTCTGGGGCTCAAGGTCATTCTGTCTGCAGAATTTAAGAGCATCCTTTAGACTTCCTAGAACGCTGAGGATGATCCGGACGAGCATCATCGACACAGCAGGATGTTTTCCACCTAGGAAAAGTGTAGGGTCAGTGGGAGGGGAGGGGAGGGGAGGGGAAGAATAAGCAGCTGGTAGGGCCACAGGTCAGAGGGGTTTGAATCCACAACTGCCGCAGAGCAGTGCCTGGAAAAGGCCTTGCTTGGCCTGTGCCCTTCCCTCATCAGTAACACAGACCTACTTGTAACATACCTTAGGGACTTGCTGCAAGCACAAACGAGATAACACGTGCAAAATATTTAAAATGGTGTCTGGTGTGTAGTAAGCAAATATGTTCACTTGTAATATTTTCCATTTTAAATGAGTGTTTTAAAATTTGGAACACATTGCAGGAAGGAAGGTATTTACATTTGGAAAATATTTTTGTAAATTATTTCTGAAGTATCTATTCTAACAGTGGTTATTTTTGTTGTTTTTTTTTTAACCACATGCTTTTCAAATGTTAGCACCAATTTTGGACTGAGTAGGCAAGATAGGTTGCACATCCTTGATTTAGGCACCTGCCCTCTCCTTCCCTTCTAAATAATTCTCAATGATTGTGTTTTTAGTTTCTCTATTGAACTTGTTGAGGTATATTTGCAAGTAAACCATATTTATAATCCAGAATGTTGGGTGATGGTCAAGTTTTGATCAAGCTTGCCAAGCCAAGCTCTCTCCACCCAAGGACTATAAAATATAGACACTCTTCAATTTATAATGGTGTTCATCCTGATTACCTCATACAATTTGGAAATTCTCTAAGTCAAACAAATGTAAGTCAAAGACCACCTAATTTGATAGCATCCATACAATTCCTTTTCAAAGAATTCTACTGGCTGTATTGAGAGCAGCCAAAGCAATAGCAGGATCTCACCAAAAAGAAGAGTCCATAGAGTAACACTAGGAGTCCACGTATTAACATGAGAGCCCCAAATATAACAACAGAATCCACAAAGCAACAACGGTAGCCCACAGAGTAACTGCAGAAGTCCACAGAGTAACCTCAGGACCCCTCAGACTATAACTGCAGGAGTGCACACAGTAACAACAGATATCACAGACTAACTGACCATAGAGTAACCTCAGGACTCCTCAGAATAACAGTAGAGTTCTATAAAGTAATCTCAGGAGTTGGTTGAGTAGCCTGAGGGGCCCATAGAGTAACTACAGGAGACCTCTGAGTAACCCCAGGGGACAACAGTGATAGAAGAAGCCCAGAGGTGGTTCAGGCCAATTCAGTTGCCAAATACTCTTTGAGGAGTATTGCTGTGGTCCCTGCTCTGGCTGTCTTTATGAGATGAACATGTTCCATTCCCTCTGCAATTTTACCAGTAGAGGAGGAGAAAACACTCAGGGGCCAAGGAAGGCCTTCTCTAAGCTTGTGGTGCAGCCAGGAAGCTTAGGGAAATCTCTAGCTGGATGCTCAGGATGAGGACACAGTGAGTAGCAAAGAGATGCCCACTTTCCACAGAAATTTTTTTGGCATTCAACTTATGTAAGAAATCTATATACTTGTGTCAGGAAAAATGTCACTTTTTAAATTTTTCTTTAAAATAATCCAAATCTGAAAGTAGCCAAGGAATTGCTGCCCTTCCCATGCCAGGGTCTCATGCATGGGGTGGTTGCTGGACACAGGCGTAAAGGCAAGTTCAGGACCCGTGTGCCCTGGGTATACCTTCACAGCCACCTCTCCTGGCCTTTCCTGTGCTTCACAGACAAGGTGTTCACCATGCCCTTGGGACACATTGGGCTCTGTCCCCTCCATGCTCAGGAACTCATCCCATTCTGTACCTCCTCTCTTGAACCCAGAGCATAATATGCTTAAGGGGGTTTTTATGAAATGTATAAAGACCATTTCCACACGGTAATAATGGTATGGTAAGAAATAAACCAAACCACCTGTACAAAGCCCCAAAACACCAACACAGAGCCCCATCACCTTGGCATGGAACAAGGCTTATGCTCCTGTGACCCTGTGCTGGGCTCTGTGAGAGATCTGCCATACAAAGTGCAGATCCCCGATCTTCAGGAGCTTGCCACTAGGGTGACACATGGCCAATAGCAGTGAGAACTGCTATTGAACCAGTGCTACTGAATGAGTGGACATGTAGGGAGCTCAGCAGTGACTGGAGGTGTTGCAGGCTGTGAGCTCAGACAACATTTGGCAGCCAAAAGCAAGAGATGGACTGGGGCTGCCTTGCCTGAATACTGATGTGCTTCAGATCTCTTGGCTGGAGTAAGATTTCAGAGCTGTATACCCAGTCCAGCAACAGCAGTATATTGAGTGTGTGATGTCAGAATGGGAAGGCCTATGTGAAGATTCATGGGTGCCCACCCAAAGCTTACCCTCAACTTGCCTACACAGACCTGATGTCTGTGACTTCCCTTCCAGTTTGAAAACCCTCTCTGATACCACAGTTTGTTGCTTCCATGCACAACTTGAGAAGGGTGGACAGACTTGGGACCAATATCTGCATTCCTGGGTTTGCTACTGTGGGCCCGTAACTTACTCTTGGTTTCCCACCTGCAAGTGGGGAAGGCACACACACAAAGGCAGCCAAAGGTGGGTCTAGAGTTGGATTTGTCCAACCCACATTGTGTTCCTAACCTGCTGGTCTGCTGTCCTTGCAAAGCACCTCACTGACCAGCTGTTTCAAGTTCTCTGCTTCCTCCCAGCCTCCTGGGGGCTCATACCCTAACTGTTCAGTAGACAATCACAGCATCTTATGACTTCCTCCAGCTGTTTAAATGTCAGCCCAGGCCTGATCTCTACTTTAAAAAAAAATCTGCTCCCCATGGAGACTGAAAGCTCTTTGAAGGCAGAGAGAAAAGTCACATTGTTTTGAAAGTCTAGTGCTCCAACTGTGAGGAAGCAGGGAGAGATACAGCAGGTAGACTGCTCATCCCAGCAGGGAGAGACACAGCAGGTGGGCTGCCCTTCCCAACAGGGAGAGACAGAAGGAGGGCTACCAACCCCAGCTGGAAACACTCCATCCAAATAGTACAACTTTTCCTGACACTCCAAGAACAACAAGTCCAGATTTCAAAGTCACATTAGATATGAAATCATATCATGCCATATTTATGATTATTTCCATGGTGACGTGCTTATCTTGTTTCTATATTGCTTTTTGTGAGAGCCAAGCAATGAAACAGGACTGAGAGGGACTTTTGCCACAAACCCTAAGCCTCGTGGCAGATAAGGTCCATGAATTCATGACAGGCACACTGTGAGTACAGGGACAGCAGGTTGCCCCAGAGCTGAGGTCCTGACACGAAACAGTCCAGATTCTGTCCCTGTGGTTATGGAGCCTGGAATCCTTGAGCTGTCTCCCTGTACCCATCAAATGCTTGACACCCCAGGCTGGGATTTGTGGGTAACATGTTGGCAGCCACATAACACTCATAAGACCTCCAAGGGCTGATTGGTCTTGGGATTACCTTTAATCTCTCAGTCACTTTAAGCCTCCATGATGGTCTTTTGCCCATCATGACTGTCTACTGCTTCATGGGATTAACTGACCGTGTCTTTCTGGAGGCAGCACAAAGCCTGGCCTCTGGGAGATAGTGAGAAAATCTATTGAGAGGAGCCTTTGGGAGCTGTAAGGAAGCAAGTAGAAGAGGGGGACTTGGTCAGTGAAGAAAGCCAAAGGGATGGGAGACCACCACTGACAGGGGGGAGCTGAGAGTCACTATCTGAATAGAAGGTAGGTGAGGAGGACGAGGCACCAGTTAGACCTGGGAGCCATGTGGTACAGAGCCATCAGAAAGTCCAATGTGGATGATGTCAGTGAATTGGTCTCCCATCTGTGGATAACCCCTATGGAGGGACCAGAAGTGAACTGGGAGTCATCATCAGGGAGGGCAAAGGCCATGGGGCATTGTAGAATTCTGAAAGATTACATCTGCAATAAAAATACCACAGCCTTGGTGGCTTATCGACAAAGCATTTATTGCTCACAGTTCTGGAGGGTAAGTCTAAGATCAAGGTGCCAGTGGGCTCTATGGCTGGTGAGGTCCACTTCCTGGTACATACATGGCTCCACGCCCTTGACCTAGTTACTTCCAAACACCATTGCCTTGAGGTTAGGGTTCATCAGATGGGTATTAGGGGGACGCAAGCATTCAGTCCATAGTGATGGCCCAGGTAGCCAACTGGGTTATATCCACTGGTGTGCTGGTAAATCAGAAGAGGGCTGGGGTGTAAACAGCCCTTGTTTGTATTGCTTGCTAATATTCTCAAGCCATGCCCAATGCCAGCTGCCTGGTGATATCTGTGAGGGAGGAGTGGGTTAGGTGCTCTCAGTCAACTCTTACAAGCCACCATGAGCCAGCACAGCGCAGCACTGGCTTCTG